CCCCAAAACCCCAAAACCCCAAAACCCCGTCATATATTATTAATGTTTATTTTAGGAGTGTTTCAAGTTAATTAATAAATGAGCTAAATTGATATAAAAGATAATTCAGCAAGCAATCATTCATCATAGATAGCAAAAGATCTCTTTAATGGATCGCTATCTGGAGCGATTGCTATTTTTCTAACTTAGCCTTTAGATACTGTTAGAGTAAGCATTCAATGTTAATAGTTTAGGTGAGGATGCAGGTAAACTTTGATTAATTCCCTGGAATTTACAGATCATTGCAAAAAACATTTGTACATGAAGGCGTAAGAGGATTTTTCAAGGGAACTGTCTCAAATATTTATGTTGGAGCAGGAATATATTCCATTTTATTTGCAGCGAAGGAGCTATCTGATCGAATACTTCAACCTATAAACTGGCTCACTGATAATTAGAAGATATTATTGTCTGGAATGTTTGGCGGATAGTAAGTTGCTTAAATTTCTCTAATAGATATGTAGTTGCTGTGTTTTTCTTGCCTGTCCTTTAGAATTGCTCAAATGTAGAGCCCAGATCAATACAGAAGGAATTTTGACCTACAGAGAGACAATTTCAAAATTATATGCATAGAATGGACTTAGATCATTTTATAGAGGATACTGGGCAACAGTTTGGAGAGATGCGCCAGCATACGGTGCTTTTTTCTTTATCTACGACTATCTTTAAAGAAAATTTATAAAGCATTCTGACTCTAGCTCTGTAGTCTACTTCAAGAAGATAATGTTCGGTGGTTTAGCAGGAATAATAAATTGGTGCCCCTCCTATCCTGCAGATCTAGTCAAAAGCATCATTTAATGTGACGAAAGCCCCAAAAGTTTGACAATTCGTGAGGTTATTAGAGAAGGATATAAAAGACTAGGCAATAAATTCTTTTATTAGGGCATTTCAGCCACTTTATTTATGGCAGGACCTTTGCATATATTGATTTTATTATCATACGAAGAACTTTCTAAGTTAAATGAATGATGGAATGGACAATTTTTTAAAGCAATTAATGCTTATAGAATGTGAATATCATGTCTATTATCTAATTGATTTCTTAATCATTATCTAATAAAATTTCAATTTTTAAACTTATAGACTTATGGGGTTTTGGGGTTTTGGGG